ACTGTTGGAGAATTATCCTTTCTCCAGCTAGATTCTTAATGTATGAGGTTGAAGAAGAGTCAGCGAGTTGAATTCATGGATTCCATTTATTAATACCAAAATACAGCACTGGTCCATTGTCATGCTACCCTTATTGGCTAACAGAGCAAAATGGCATCTAACAATAGTTTCTAATTCCTTTTGCTGGCCTCAAAAGAGGGCGACCCCTAGCTTGTCATTTACTTTGACCTTAGCTTTGTGTGCATGTGCTCTGTGTGTGTGTGTATATATACGGACATGCAAATAGCTAAAAGAGATAGAGGAAACACAGAATTATTTATTTCTAAAAGTACATAAACCTAACCTAAACTAAATTCACACCTTAGTCCTAAACCACAGGTGTCCTGGAGGGCCACTGCCCTGCACCTTTTAGATGTGCCTCTGCTGCACCACCTGAATAGAATAACTACATCAGTAGCAAGGCTCTGGAGAACTGATCTACACAAGGAAGAGGTAATTAAGCCATTTAATTCCAGTGTTTTGTGCCTGTGGCACATCTAAAAACTGCAGGACAGTGGAGGACTGGATTCTAAACCTACCCCTCACCCCAAAACACCATTTCCTCGTATGAGGCCTGGCCTTTGGGCCCCATAAGGAGCAGTCAGTCCTCACAATGTAGTATTTGTTGGAAAAATGGCTCTTACACTCTATCAAATGCCAGGCCACACATACATATACTCCAGATGGTTAAAGGTTATACAGTCAGAGGGTGTGCTGTGGTGGAGCAGGGGTTGAGCACAACTCGCATATGGAGGCCTTAGGCATTGACATGGCCATCAAAGGTTTGATTCCCGGCCTGGTGACCCCTGCTGCATGTCTTCCCCCTTCTCTCATTACCCACTTTCCTTCAATTCACTATCAAATAAAAGCCACTAGAGCAGTAGTTCTTAACCTGGGTTTAATCAAACCCCAGGGGTTTAATGACTCGGTCTCAGGGGAACGACCCAAATCTGCCACAGTTTCAACAGAAACAGTTTCGAGAGAAACTGGAACCACTTTAAGGTCTTGTTTAGATCATTTAATTAGCTCTACATTCTTAAGAGAATGAAAAATTAATAATAAATAATACTTTGTGGTATTCTGATTTAGTAATGTAATTATATTAGTTGTGTTACCACCCCCACGCCACTAGAGGCAGTAGCAGGCCCGAAAAGATGCGACTAAGGAGCAGATTTAGAAGTACACCAAAGCTACAGAATTTGGTAAAAACTGTGAGTTTTGCTGAAGTAATTAAAGACACAAGTTCAAATCCCTGCTGAGAGTGGAGCTCCTTCAATCAGGGCTCCTCCGCAGCTCTGATTGGCTCAGCAATGTAACGTGATCCTCTGCAGCAAGTGATGACAAAGCGGGGCGTCATCACGACTTTACACAGTGTGTCTTTACCTCCGCCAAACCCCTGAGACCGACTCACTGAACCCCTGGGGTTCGACTGAACCCAGGTTAAGAACCACTGATCTAGAGCCAATAAAACCTCTAAGAAAAGGTTATAAAGTCAGAAATTGCTACTGCAGCAACATAACCTCCCTACTTTGATACTATTTGCAATCTTGATTTAAAGTCAATTAGGATTCTATTTGAGCCATTCTTTTTGTAGATCAAAACTGTCCTGGCACAGAGTTACTCTACATTCACTCATTTTATGTTACAGTACAGCATGCTTCATCCCACTAGAACAGATATGGATCTTCAGATTACTAAAATATCTAAAGTGTCCAGAGTCAGGTCATGTAAGAACCTTTTTATGTGTTGACCAATGGCAAACATCAATATAAAGCGTTTATTGGCTGATAATGTCAACATGACGATAACATTGTGAAATCTCAAAGTATTGAGTTTGATGTTTGTGTATCTGTTGATGCAGGCCTTCTGGAACCAAGGACATGTCCCTGTCTGTCCCAGACACCATTACCACCTGGGAGACGGAGACTTTCTGTTTGTCCCCTCAGGGTTTTGGTTTGGCTCCTCGTCAGAAGCTCACCGTCTTCCAGCCTTTCTTCCTGGAGCTCACCCTGCCCTACTCCATCATCCGGGGGGAGAACTTTGAGCTGAAGGCGACTGTCTTCAACTACCTGACCAAATGCATCATGGTAAGGGCCAACTTTAAATCAACTAAGTGATTATATCTCCAATTAACATAGTAAATATGATCAGTGGTGAACAGTACAGGAGTACAATGATTGAAGTACTCTACTTAAGTACACTTCTTGAATATCTTTGCTTTACTTGAGTATTTATTTTTTGAGGAACTTCTAACTTTCAACTCCACTGCATCTCTAGAAAGTTTGTTACTTGTTTCTTTTGGCTCAGCGTAGCTTTGTAGTCCGCTGTAGCTGCTTTTCTGTACTGACATGCTTTTGGCCACACGTTGCTTCTCACAACGGGAACCAATCACAGTCACCGCTTGCATCTGGGATTTGGAATTATGTCGTCCTCATTAAGTGTAGCCCAGTGTCAACACCTTAAGCTGCATATCTCTCCAACAGATGAAAGTGTTTGCAGCCCCCTCCTCAGATTACACCCTCAGCCCCCTCTCTGGGGATCAGTACACTTCCTGTCTGTGTGCCAACGAGCGGAAGACCCTGAGCTGGACCATGAATCCCACAGCCTTGGGTGAGGATCAGAATGAGCGGTCACTGTTGGGAATGTTAAAGGTTGAGAGGCTGAGGAAGGAACTAATGGCCAGTAACAGAATCTCCTGCTGCCTGGTGAAGTGTGTGTTGGTGTTTCTCAGGCGTTGTGAATGTGACTGTGTCTGCCGAAGCTGTTCCGTCTCACGCCTCCTGTGAGAACGAGATCGTGGAGGTTCCAGAAAGAGGACGCATCGATACAGTGACACGCTCTCTCAGAGTAGAGGTTGGTTTTCTGAATATAAAAAAAACAAAAACATTAAAGAAGCATGATATTTTTTTATTATTTGAATCAATTCAATGCCATTTTATCAAAGCAATTGACATCAAATATTTTGTCTGATTTCATCTCCTCCACAGGCTGAAGGATCTGAGATAATAAAGACACAGAACTGGCTGCTCTGCCCCACAGGTCCGTGTGTTTCAAACCAAACAGACTGATGTGCAATTTAAAATCAAGAAGCAAGCACTTCAAAATTATTCTTGTGTGATTCACTTTATAAAGTAGGAATAAGCAAGAAAATACATTTAATTTGCAACATTAACATTTGTGTGTTCCTGTTGAACCCGCATCCAATGACCTCATAATATCTATAAATTTATTTTTTTATTGTTTGTACTCAGGAGAAACATTGACAGAGGAAACAGAGGTGCAGCAGCCTGAAAATGTGATTGATGGATCAGCCCGTGTCACAGTGTCGGTCCTGGGTAATCCATGCTACAAATTCTACTGATAGGTCAATGGTCAAACATGTTCTGTCAACCGAAACAGACCCTGCCTCCAAAAAGCCTCAACTAAGGTTCAACATTATTGTTGTTGGGGCAGTTTTCTGTAAAAATGTACTTTATTGATCACTACATTGTGTTATAATGATTTTCCGCATCAAAAACAAACCTGGAGTATTACTTTGATTCTTTCATGCATGTTTGAGAAATCCTTTAATCTCCATGGAAACCACTCAGCTGTGCAGAACGCTAGAATGGAATTAGCCCCGCCCTCAAGGTGCAGCTCCTCCTCAGAACTGCTCCTCGCAGAGCAGCACCATGCCCCTAACCCCTGGCTCCCCAACAGGACTCCCCAACTCGGCTCCTTCAGACTAGCCAGCAGCCACCTGGTGGAACTGCATCTGCTGAGCTCATTATGTGAACAAACTCTCAGTGCAGCACTGGTAAAAATGTTGCCAATAGAGGAGCGATGATATGATGACTCCTTGAAGGCAGAGTTTCAGAAAGAGCAGGCGTTTTTAAAGAGACAGAGACCCAAGGCATTCAATTACAATGTCAATTTCTTTTGTCATATTTGATATATACAGGATTTTTATAACAACTGAAGGTAACATAATGACTAAATTGTGTTATGTGCCTGGAAATACATAATTCTGCCCCTTTAAGATTGTTTTGCCCTTCCTTAGCTGTTTCGTGTAGTTTTTGTGTTCTCCAGCTGACCCGTTGGCCCTTATTTTAGTTTATTAGTAATATCAGAAATTGTGGAGTAAGCACTATTTAGATCAATAATATACAGCCCAGAAATGGAATCAGAATTAGAATTAGAATAACTACGAACTTGGAATCCAGAAATACTTAACAGGAACAGTCACTGCTTAGTTTATATGACTTTTAACCCAGAAAATGAATTAGATCAGTCATTCTTTAGCTTATTTTATCAGAAACTGTAGAGTACTCACTGTTTAGAAATGGAATTAGATACTTAACAACCCTGAACAGGAGCACTTAGTTTACACACTTTAGAACAACATTAGATTAGTTCTTTCCTCTTTTTTCTTTCCTTTGGTTTGTTATTTTGTTTGTATTTCCCTTTAATTCATGTAAACCACTTTGAATTACCGTGTTGCTGAAAATGTGCTACATAAATAAAATTACCTTACCTTACTGGAACAGTCTAAAAACAATGCATGCATTTTTAGGTCAATGGAAACGCAGCTACTGCTGCAAACTGCCTTTTAATGTTGGCTTGTTCTCCCACAGCGTTGTTCTTTATGTAAAACACATACCTGTTGACTAATTCACACTGATGAAAGTTGCTTGGCTGATAATGGTACATTTGGTGTAATTTAACCTTGTGTTTTTATGTAGGAGACATCCTCGGCCGCGCTCTTAAGAACCTTGAGGGTCTGCTGAAGATGCCGTATGGATGTGGGGAGCAGAACATGGCTCTTCTGGCCCCCAACATCTACATCCTCCATTATCTTAAAAACACTCAGCAGCTGACCCCAGCCACCAAAGAGAAGGCCTTCAACTTCCTATCCAGTGGTGGGTCATTCAGTTTTAATGACTGTTATAATCTGACCTTTCTGTGTGTCTATGGCTGTCCAGAATATGGTGCAGTTGAAACAAACACAAAGAAACGTGTCTAATAATTACCTTTGCTCTTCTTTTTTTCTAAGGTTACCATAGACAGCTGAACTACCAGGACTATGAGGGGGCATACAGCACATTCGGCAGCGGACCAGGAAATACCTGGTGAGGATATTCCTCTACATTTCTTTGTGTCTGTGTGGATTAACTGACTAGCTAGGGGAATCATTAGAGTATTTCTCAAGACACCAGGCCTATAAAAGTGCTCATTTTCTTTGTTAAAAATTTTGATGAAAGATTCCACTTCAAAAGATACATATGACTTTCTGTTCCCGTTCATGGAACAGAAACATTCTATATTGTTAAAAAAAAAAAAACAATTTTTACAGACAACTTTCATTGCTGTCACATTTTAAATAATCACACAAGTCAATCCTTGGGCCAAGAAAAAAAAATAGCTGCAATTGTTTCTCATTGTATTATCTTGTCATTGGTCAATTATGTGCTAAATATATTGATGTTCCTCAGGCTGACATCTTTTGTACTGAGATCTTTTTTCCAAGCTCAGTCTTTCATCTACATTGATCCGGTAAACATAGAGAAGTCCAGGACTTGGTTGAATCATCAACAAAAGCAAAATGGATGTTTCAAAAAATCAGGGAAACTCTTCAACAACAGAATGAAAGTAAGTTCACTCAGTAGCCAATTTAGAGTTTGTACTGTATAGAATTAGAACTGTTTCCTTCATCCGATGCTTTGCAGACACAACACCTGTGCTGAAGATTTACTCACCTCAGCATTCCGAATGTTTGAACTGATGCAATCTGATCTACTTTCTGATTAGTTCATTAGTTATCTGACCAGTTAGATGCACTGTAGATAGTCAGACAATTTTATGTTCTAAAAATGCCTGACAAATAATTTTTCAGTAAAAGTTTTTTTTTTTTTTAATATCAAGAAGTAAATTCTACTTCAGTGGTGGTGAGATAAAGTTAAAGCGATTGTCAGTTAACATTTTAAAATGTTCAGCTAACATATTGAATATATCCAATATTCAGTACTCAAATATTGAATAATATGTATTCAATATTTGTATTAAAAAAGGTTTATCCTAATAATGGTAATGGTCAGTGTTCTTTTAATTTTTACTTAAAAACTTTACCAAAAAATGACCTTCTTTAAATAAGAAATTAAAGTGAATGACCATGACTCATCACTTTTCCTTTTTCTCTCTTTTTCTTCCAAAAACTGGCAAAAGTCTTCCCTCTTTGGTCTCAACTAGCCTTTCTGTTTCATTTGTTGTTTCTGTTTTTGTTTATGAATTTTCCATATTTAAAATATCTTCTAGCTCAAGTGTTAAATGTTCATCAGAAATTAAAGTTTATTTATCTTTGACAATGTTTTCTTACATTACGGTATTTCCAGTGTATTACTTGAAAATGGTCTCAAAACAACAATATTCTCGCTTATCACAGTAATTTGTAGGACAATTTATCATACAGCAAAATTTGTTGTCATGACGGGTCTACATACAATGCTCCTAAAAATCAACACGAGTGCTTTGCTTATGGAGAACAGATGTGACAAGACTTGATGTTCCACATAATCCCCTTCATTTCATCACATTTAGACCCACAAAACTGAATTTTTACAGCAAGTCAGGAAACAGACAATACATGTTTGTGGGAATATCTTAGACAAATGTGTACACTTTGGAAGAGCTCCTGGTCTACATGGTCCAATAAAATACTAACAGAATAACTAAAATGCTGTAAAAGATTTTTGCTTTGAATTTGGTTAAACTTATTTTTTAAGCACAGGTGAAACAGATGGTAAATTGATCTCCACAGGGTGGCGTGTCGGATGAAGTGACTCTTAGTGCCTACATCACCGCTGCCTTTTTGGAGATGAATATCTCTGTGAATGTAAGTAAATTCAAATAACATATCATAAAACTGAACTTTCAAAACTATTTTGCTGATTAGTATTTTGGCACAATTCTTCCTACTCCGTAAATGTTTTGATTGCTCGTGAGCCAAGACTCAAACATGTTTCCATTTGTTTCCAAACCATGAAATATCTCAACAGTTTGACCCTGTAGTGTCCATACAGCCGACAAACAGACACTGTGTGTTTGGGAACACTTTGTTGTCAGTTTCTCACTATTGGTGCTTTTGTCAAATGCACACAATTCAAATCATCAGCTAAAGCGCAGCCTCAGCAGCACCAATGATGGTGATTATTGAAGCACATCTGTGTACAACAGTGTCATTCTGGCATAAAGTACCTGTCAGAGTGATGACGACTTCATTCTGTCAAAGGATCCTGTGGTGGCACAGAGCCTGTTGTGCCTCAAAGAGTCCATCAATGATTTCAGCAACACCTACACCACAGCTCTGCTGGCGTACGTCTTCACACTGGCTGGAGACATGGAGACCAGAGCTCACCTCCTGCAGCACCTCGACTCAGTGGCCATCAAAGACGGTGAGTCGTGTTCCTGGTGGAAATCATCAGAGTTCATTATCATGACTTCATTAATGCTGCAGTATGTAACTTTAATTAAAAAAAATAAATCCGACATTTATTGAAAATAAAATAACATGGCAGGAGGAGGGTTTTAGCACTGTCAATCACCCTCTGTGTAGCGCTACTCTTCCCCCGCTCTCCCTCCTCCTCTTACTCTCTGCTTTACTACAGCTGACAAGATGGTGACAGTTTTAACGAATGAATGAATGAATATATATATATATATATTTTTAGGCAGCTCCATCCACTGGTCTCAGAGAGCAGCAGAAACATCAGCCTCTCTGTCTGTGGAGATCAGCTCCTATGTGCTCCTGGCCAAACTCTCTGCTTCCCACACTGCTGAAGACCTGGGGTACGCCTCAGGGATCGTTCAGTGGTTGACGACTCAGCAGAACTACTACGGAGGATTCTCCTCCACTCAGGTGCTGAAGCCCTGAAAGCTATTGCAGGATCTATTTGTCTGGATAGTCTTACTTTGGACAGGGAATAGTTTTTATAGCTGATACTCTTTTGGTCATATCTAGTTTGATCCATGTTGTGTAACAGTACAGTGATTCTTAAGAATAGGGATAAAATGGGTTATAATTTTCCCAAAAAATGTTTTTATTATTTCTCAACCTTATGTATGCAAATATGACAAATAATGTTTTGGAAATGTAAAGA